AGAAAGAAAGAAAGAAAGAAAGAAAGAAAGAAAGAAAGAAAGAAAGAAACCGGGCAATTTGGAAGCTTAAAAAAGAAATTAACTTGGTTGTTGAATCATGACAAAAAAGACGCTGAGACGATTCCTTAAGGGATGTCTCAGTTCTCAAGTTCATTTAGCGACCAAAGTTATGATACCACTGAGAATAAAAGGGACTTTAAGACACTTAAGACCGTAGCAGCATCCTCATGGTCACATGATCAAAATTCAGGCGCTTGGCAATGGACTTGTATTTACGACGGGGGTCACATGATCCCCTTTGCCGACGGACAAGCAGAGCCAATGGGGAAGCCGCATTCACTTAACAACCGTGTCGCTAACTGAACGACGGCAAGCGATTCCCTTACCAACCGTGGCAGGAAAGGTGATAAATTAGGACAAAACTCACTTTACCAATGTCTCGTTTAGCAACAGGAATTTGGGGCTGTCGTGGTCATAAGGTGAGGACTAGCTCCATTCAAAACCCCACCTAGTGGGAACTTTACTGGAGGCGAACCTACTGCAGGAGCTCCGAATCTGCTTGATATTCTAGAACGGTGGACGCCAACCAGTGGGCGAGAAAATTTTGGTGGTCCACAAAGAAATGTCCCCCCCAAAGCAATTAATCCAGGCGGGGCGGGAACACAAGGCTGCGCCGCCCACATGGCCCGCAGAAACCCAAGGCTTGCGTTGCTTGCATTGCAAACAACACGAGATAGGGAGGGGAGAAGTGGGGGAATTTGCCCCACTCACCCCTCGTGCCTGGCCTGGCCACCGGGCTGCTTTTTTCCGCTTCTTTCTTCTTCTGCTTCTGGCTGCATGCAAGCAAAGCAGCCAAAGTCTTTCTTTCTCTCCCCCAAACTCCGCCAGAAATGAGTCTTTGGGACCCCGCAAGGCCTCCTGCTCCAAGAGGCTGCGCCAGCAAAGACTCATTTCTGGCAGAGTTTGGGGGAGAGAAAGAAAGACTTCTGCGGCTCCTGCTGCTTTCCTTGCATGAAGCCAAAAGTCTCTCCTCTCTCTCTCTCCCCCTGAGAACGGAGCTGGAGACGGTATCCTGCGATCCCAAATAAAGATTGATCGATCGGTAGGAAAAACGGGGTGGGGAATTTTCCTGCAGACTTTTTTGGGGGATTTTCCCAGGGTCTCTGGTCTGCGGGATTTAAAATTATGATTTTGGTGGTCCCTGAGATCCAAAAGGTTGGCGACCCCTGTTCTAGACCCCAATTCCCATCGTGCACAACGGCATGATCTCAGGATGATAGGAGCACTTAGAAGGCTGGCCTGCAAATGCTTAAAATAAAACAATTAATAAAATAAATGCAACCAATAAGACATTTTCATGCCGAGATCTGTCCTCTTTGTTTAGTTTTCTCACGCCGAGTTGGGGCTTGGAACCATCTCCGCTATGCGACAGATGTTGCAAGAAGCTCTCGCCAAGCCGCCTGTATATATATATATATTTATACGTATTTTATTTTAAATGGGCAAATAAACTCTTTCCAGCCGGCTGGTTAGAAAGTTAATGAAGCTGGCTATAATTATACCCAGGGCCTCATTTAGCCAGAAACAGGTGGCTGCTAAAACTGAGGGTTGTTTTTAAGGGGTGGGAAAAAAAAAATTGCATTATTATCCTTTTGCAGAGTTTGGGAGCTGAGACGCTGCTCAGAAAGCGTCTGGGACCCCTAAATTCTGCCCCTTCCTTAGGGTGGGAAGCCCTTCTAACCGAGTTTTCCAGCCCTAGAGAAATTGTATCAGCCCCACTTTCACCCCTTTTAAGAAGGATCTTTGGGGAATCAAAATTTTGGTGCAAAACTGACTGCGGTGTTGCCTGCCAAATATGAACGGGCTTGCAAGATATCTTCCATATTATCTGCGCCAGCTGCTGGATTCCCGGCAATAAATAAATAATAATTAAATAAGGTTTTTTTTTAAAAAAAAATCCCAATTTTAAGATAGATTTCTCTTAAAAGGTGTTCGAATTCAATATTTGAACACCTTTTAAGAGAAATCTGTGTTCTATCTTAAAGTTGGTTTTTTAAAAAAAATAAAACTTATTTAATAATCTCTATTCATTTTAATATTTGTTTGTAGGAGGTAGGAAGATACAAGCGGATTTAGCAGCGTGGTTCAGCGTCTGAAGAATTGGTAGGTAAACAAGCACACATTTGCTCACAATTCGGATACACAACCAAGAGACAAGAAATCGGTTGTCGGTCTCTGAAGCTGCCATTCAGCCAACTGCAGAAATGCAGGAAACAGGGCCAGTCTCTTTTTAATAGAAGTAGTCCTCAACTTACAGCCACGAGACCAACATGCCTGTTGCTAAATGAGATGTGCATTAAGAGAAAATTTCCCCATTTTATGACCGTTCTTGCTGCATTTGTTAGGGAATCACTGCCGTTGTTCTTAGTGACACTGTTGTTAAGTGAATCTGACTTTCTGCATTGACTTCGATTTTCAGGTCGCAAAAGGGGATCACACAACCCCCTCCCCTCCGGTGACACGGCAACCGTCATAAATACAAGTCAGCTGCCAAGCCATTGAATTTGGATCACGTCGTCATGGGGATGCTGTTAATGGTCATTAAGACCTGGTCCTAAATGGCTTTTTCAAGGGCCGTATCTTTGAACGGTCACTAAACAAACTGTTGTAAGTCGAGGACTATGGTCTGAACCGAATAAGAATCGGTTGTGAGTCTCTGAAGCTGCCATTCAGACAACCGGAGAAATGCCGACAACATGGCTAGTCCTGTTTTCAATATAACCCAGGGGGTGGGGGATTGGACTAGATGCCCTACAACAGGGATCCCCAACCACCGGTCCCCGGACCGGGACCGGTCCGTGGATCATTTGGGACCGGGCCGCCTACTTCGCTTCGGCGCCATCTTGTTCCGACGTGCTGGATCAAGCTCTGGTTTTGATGCCGTCCCTCAGCCTCGCTCGACCCAAAACGTCAGCCCCACGCCGTGCGTGGCTGGAGAAAAGGGGGACGTGGTAGCCGCGGAGAAGCTACTCTCCCTAAGAAGGGGGCTCCCGATTCGCCGGGCTTACACCAGGAGTTCTGCAAGGCGCTGGTGAAGGGAGGCTACGCCACCGCCGATTATTCGACCCCAGCCTGAACTAACTGCCCTCGCCCTCTTCGGAAGCGGCCGGCGACCTGGTCACGGCTCTGGTGAAGCTCGTCTTCGATCGCCTCACCGACACGCGGCTACAGGCCACTCCGGTGGCTTTCCAGTGTTTGGGAAAGGGGCTGTTAAATCTCGAAGCGGCTAAGCCGGAACAGAGCAATGGGGTCAGCAAACCGGGTTCTCTCTTTAAACTAGGTGAGGGTCAAGGGGTTGCAGCGAAATGGGGCGAGAAAGATCCGGAAAGAAGAGGGCTCTCTCCAGGGATCCCCGGAATTCCTTATATGCCTGGATTTTAAAATATTCCGAAAGAAGGAAATGTGTGTGTGTGTGAGAGCAGTATTAAATATCTAAAACATATACATTAACCACGATTGTTAAATCCAGTCCAACTTCGATTATAATTAAATTAAGTCATAACTAGCTTTTCAATGAGTGGAATAGTGTCTCCATATCATGATCAAATGAACCAAGAAGAATGGCGGTCTACCAGCATCCAGATCCCACTAGAATGGGTGAAGACAAAATATTTGGGCTGTAGATATTTTGGAAGAAGGGGAATGTTGTGGAGTTGAGTGGGAAAGTGTAGCTATCTGTTTAACATTTTTAAAGTGAAGAGCAGTGTTTCTCAATTTTAAGAAGTCCGGAATGCTGTCTGGGTAATTTTGGGAGTTGAAGTCCACATAATCTTAAAATTGCTGGAGTTGAAAACACTGGATAGGCAAAGGGTTTCTTTGCACTTACATATCTTTAGTGCAATCCCTACTATATATATATATGACAAATCTTTAAAATGTGTGGACTTGGACTTTCTGAATTCCCCACACACCTTACAATTGTTGAAACTGTGGAAAGCTGAAGACCATATCGGAGATCAAACCCATCCTAAATGTAAAATCTGAATTGCAGATTATTACCTTACAAAACGCTTTTGGAAAAAACATATATTTTTTGCCAAACATATATTTTTGTTTGATCCTGATCAACTGAATCCTGATGACTTTATTGGAGTCTAGTCTTGCATTTATACACATTTTTAGTAATCCTCCAACACTGGTTAATTTTGGTGAGTTGATAGTGTAATAGTAAATAAAATAAAAAATACAAATAAATAAATAAACAATAAATAAATAAATAAAAAAAAAAACCCTAACCGGTCCTTGAAAAAGTGTTTCTGCGTGAAAACTGGTCCCTGGTACGAAAAAGGTCAGGGACCGCTGCCCTACGAGGTCCCTTCCAGCTTTGATTATCTGTTATCCAGCTAATTCTAGGCAGAGTTTTTGCACCATCAGGATCGGCGGTTGTGCGAACACCTTCGCACAACCTATTTGGCTCTGCCAGCAAGGCTTCCTTCTACTCTTCCTTCGAATTGTTCCTTTCCTTATGTTTTTTTTATTATTGTTGCTTTCGTATTTTTTTATACTGTAAGTCACCCAGGGGCTTTGGATACCAGATGGGCAGAAAATAATTTTTTATGAATAAATGAAATAAATCAGGAAGAATAAGGGAAACGTTAAAACAGGCACATCTGGCTCCTCGGGATCTTAGATCTGAGGTGTGTCAGGAATTAATGTTGTGTGCTCTGCAGAGTCATATAGAGGCATGTTTCTCTACCTTGGCTATTTTAAGATGGGTGGACTTCAACTCCCAGAATCCCCCAGCCAGCAG